ATCTACCTCCATTATCGACTGACTGTCAGTGTATAAAGAGTCCGAAAATTATGACACACAACATATAAACACATCCAAACTACCTAACATTTAGTCTGAAGCCAAAACATGTTGCGTTCACAATCACAGAACACTATGAAACGAACAAATCTTCACTTTGGAAGACACATTGGAAAACATTCTGATTCCTGAATTTCTTAGTGCCGTTTTTGATGTCCTGGGCTTCTCAGCATCTTAAGTGTGTAACTAGATACTGAAATAATTCTAAAGCTGTGCTGTTACATTTTAACACCTCCCCAACCTGTCTATTTTAAATGAAAGATATTTGAATAAAGTTTTGCAAGAAGTAAATCAGCTTTTTCACTGCCTCGGATTCTGCTAGTTTAATGAAAGATGTAAAATTTCCACACATCTAATAACTACCATTCATTGCTCGTAGAGGTGCAATGTGCCAAGATAGTGCTGCTAAAACTCATTTGCTCTGTAAAATGCATCTGTTGTATGACAGAAATATGGCCTAAAATGTGAGCCAACAGAATAGGAGCTGGGGGTTGATAATATGCACACACTGATGAACTGAGCAGCTCAGATCGGAAAAGAGAGACTGTATATAGGATGTGCTTTTCTTAGTAAAGAACAGGATTCTTGGCCTAAGAAAGACGAGTCATCTCTGGTCACACCACTGGGTGGCAGCAGTAGCCTGGGATTGGAACTGCAAGATTCAGTGCAAATCAAAAGTGAAACTAACCGTGTAGACTCAGTGCAGTAGTAAATGGACTGTTAGTTATTGTTTCTGCTCACTTTCTATATTGTTACAACTATTTCTACAAGGATTTTCTGTGAAGTGTCCCATTCTTTCATCTAACAACCTCACTATCTTTTACCTTCATGGAAGGCCAACGTTTCTCAGTTTAAAAAGGGTTAACTAGATGAAACTACATCATACCACATGCATCTGTACTAAGTGTTGCTTACATGTGTCACTTACTAAAACCAATTTGTTTTTCTCAGAACTCACATTGGAACAACAAATAGCAAGAGTGGGAACACAAATTAAACTGTAACAGGTTTGACTAGTGGGAAAACATCACTTGAGTTAGTACAAACCTGATTCCACTGCAGCGTCGGTCATAAAGTGGTGGATCCATGAGAAAGCCATAACATGACGAGGGCATTTCTTATATAATAGCAAAAGGTTTACTTTGTAATAATATGTGAAGTGATGAAAATAGAAGCTGTCAAAATCATAGACAATATCTGAAGTCACCTGCTTCACAATAACTTGAGACCACTCGGTTCGAAAAAGCCATAATCTTCTTCCACACAGTCTTTTATTTGTAAATAATAAAAATGAACTCTTGAATATAAAACATACACATCAGTAGAGCCACATCTGTTATACAAACAAGAACTGTTGCAGTGAATACTTCATCTTTCGTCTAGAATCGTGGTTTGGGAGTGGGGAGCCATGGGCTGTAAACAATCAGTATTCCTGGAGTAATACTGACAAAGGAAAGGGCAGTCGGCCATACCGCCAAGGGTTTCAACAAAAACATCTGCAAAATATGTCTGCAAAACCAGATTTCTCATTGGCTTTAGAAGTCCAGTCCAAACCAATAGCAATAAACAGGGAACGGGGGGATTGAAGGAGAAGAAAATAAACTTTGTTCCAATTGGTTCTGCTTATTTTTCTGCAACTGGGACAAAAATAAAGGCCTATTAGCGCCCCCCCGTGGCTCGATGCCGCTCAGCGGCTCAAGCACCGGACGCAAACTCCCCTCAACAAGACCAGGAATGTTTGTGTGTCAGCGATGTTTTGTTTGTTCATAACTTAAGTTCAAGCCGCTCATCCTGATTTGTATGTACAAGGTGTGCGTGTGTGTGTGTGTGTGTCGGTGACGGGTGTACAGTCAGATACACTCTTTTTATATTCATATATCTATATCTTTATAATTTCTGTCAAACTCATAATGATACTTCATATACATTTAGCTGTTATACACACATTCTCTATCTCTGTCTCTAGCCCCGACTGTCTTAAACTACAGTTTAGACACCTACATCCTCAGATACGCCAGGGGCTCGAGTATGCTCAGTACTACAGAACAGCACTGTTGTTCAAAGGGTTCAAAGAAAAAACTGAAACAAAGACAATATTTTTGGAGACTTCCTAATATGGATATTTAGACCCAGAGTGGTAGGCGTGGCCTGGGTGGAGTTGATCCCCCCCTATTGGTCCGCTCCTGTCAGGGGGCAGGGATGGCTTGGCTTTTCTCGGTTTGTATTCATATTCAGTACGAGCAAACTGTACAAGAACATGCAACATACAAGCTGGCCTAAAAGTATGTGGAACTAACACACATAGTCTAGTCTTTTTTTCTGTTTTTGTTTTTTTGAGAATTGTTTGTTAATTTGTCTCGTCTTTCGATTTTACAAAAAAGTAGAGAACGGAACAAAAACGAAACAAACAGAACAAAAGAAACGTGCATGCAGCTTGGGGCCGGGGCGGGGCGTCCCCGAGTCATGCTGCTCCCTCCTACAGGGGGAGTTAGAGGGGTCAGGGAGGGGAGGAGACGGGTGGTGAGGTTTGGGCGAAGGGTGTTCGAGCAAATGTGACCTGACCTTGATCGTCGGCGCACCACCGCTCGAAAACCAAACATACACGTACACAGAGGGAGTCTGCACCTTGTGGTACCATTCTGAACTCTAGGCAAAACAAAGACAGAAAAAAATGATCCCAAATGAAAAAGAAAAAGCTAATAACTGATTTGGCCTCTGTTTTCTTTCCTCTTGGTTTAAACATAGAGAAAAGTTTTTGTTTACCTCTGTCTGAATGAAGGAGTCAAGCTTTTCTTGTGCTTCCTTTCATATCTCACAAGGCTAAGAATGTGCACGTGCATGTGCAGGCTCCCTTTCCTTAAAGGTTACCAGACTGAGCCAAACTACTGCCCCTCGTCTACGATACTGTTACCATGGTAACACCTGTAGAGACAACAGCCAACCTCTAGACAAGAGTTGCATGAAGCTGCAACAGTTTGCTACTTACTAACTCCCACACATCGTTTACGCCACTTGTCCCTGTGGCCTAGCAGTAAGCTCTACTCTGATTGGCTGGAGGGCTACTAGGTGGAGGACTCCACTTTGATCGGGTGCTCTGATAGGGGCTGCACAAGAAAGTAAAGAGAAATAAAAGAAACAGTAGAGAGAAGTGAAGAATGCTGGACAGAAACCTCCACTGCTGCAGCTCAGAGGAGAAAACAAAGAAAGCAAAGCTTTGAAAACAAAAAGGTGTAAGGAGGAGGAAGAGGGAAGGTGTGAGACATGATTGTCAGACTCCAGCTAAGCTTTGATTGGCTAGTTCTGTCTCTCCCTCTCTCTCTTTCTCTCTCTCATTCCCTGTCTCTCCGTCTGGCTTTTCATTGGTTGACCGAGGGCTTCTCGTTGTCGTCCTCGGGGCGTGTTCTCGCCCTCTGCTCAGTTGTGGTCCAGTAGTTGTGGTCCATTATTTTGTCATTTAAGGGGTATTGGGGGTAGGCGGTCGCCATCCGGTCACTAGGACCGAACGCCCGGCGGCGGTCCTGAGCTGTCCAGTGACGTCTGAGACGCCAGCCGCGTGAGCGGAGCTAATGTAGGGTCCACCAATGAAGATGGCGGAAAAAGTTTGTACCAGCCAATCACCGTGCTTGAGAGGTCCAGGTCCTCCAATAGGATCTGTGCTACACCCATGAAACATTTGTGGTCCAATCGTCCATAGTCACCCCATACGATCACCTAGAGGAGAGAGAAAAGATGAATCCAGTTACCAAATGTTGAGTCGGGGAAAGACGCAGAGGCTTCAGACTCAAGACATCAAGTAAAATTTAGAGCTTTTAAAATGCTTTTAGACCAAAGGACTAGTCGGTGATGCAGAGATGTTTCTAAGTGTTGTCCACATTAAGTCCTAAGCTATTGAAGAGAACAAGTCTCAAGTGTTCAAGAAATATGAAAGCAAAATGGCAAGTCATTCAAAGTAAGTTCAGTTTAAGTCTCAAGTCATTCAAAAGTCTAGGTCTAGTTTCAAGTGCACTCAAACAAGTTTCAGTCAAATCAATTTTTTTTAAAGAAAAATCTGAAGTAATTAAAGACAAGTCTTAAACCACTAAATCTAGTTTGTAGTTATTGAAGAAAAGTCTCAGGTGGTCATTAAAGAAAAGTTAATATTCAAAGTCTTTACCAGCAAATTGAAAGTCATTTGACTTTTAAGGTTTCTGAATCCTGACAAATACAGTGCTACGAAAAAGTATTCAACCCTTTTGGATTTCCTCTATTTTTGTGTGCATCTCTCGTTAAACTGTGTCAGAAACAGAATCTACCATAAAACAAAGGCGACCTTAGCAAACACAAAATACAAGTTTCAAGCATGAAGGTTATCTAATTACTACTGGGCCTGTGTGAGGAAGTATTTGCATCTGTGGATACTAAATGCAAAAAAGCTACCAAACTGCACTGGTAATTGGTTGCAGCTGGACTAGACACACACATGCCTGATTACTAATGCTCAATCAAATCATCACTTCAACAGACCATTTTCAGAGGCACGAATTTTGGCTGAAAGTCACACGCCATGCCAAAAGAAAATCCAAAAAACATGAGGAAGAAGGTGATTGAAATGCATCAGTCTAGGAAGGGTAACAAAACTGCTAATTCAGAAAACATTAAAGCAGAAATTGAAGTCTGACTTTAGCCATAACACAACTTGATGACCCCCAAAGCTTTTGGGAGAATGTTCTATGAACTGAGGAGTCGAAAGTTAAACAGTTCGGGAAGACAGGGGGCCAGATATATAAACCAGAATTCCACAAAAAGAACATTACACCTGTGGTCAAGCATGGAGGTGGAAGAGTAATGATGTTGGAATGCTTATGTGCATCTCCACATGTTTTGGGGATACTTTCTGTAATTGAGGGAAACTTGAATTCTGCTCTCTAACAGAAAATCCTGAAGGAGAATGTCAGGTCGTCAGCCCACGAGTCGAGTCCCAAGGACAACTGGATTAGGCAGCAAGACACTGATCCCAAGCAGAGGAGTAAGTCTCCCTCAGAGGAGCTCAAAAGGAATAAAGTTTTGGAAAGGTCTAGTTAAAGTTTGGACCTGAACTCTCCTGTGGTTGGACTTAAAAAGAGAAGTTCATGCTGGAAAACATTCCAATGTGGTTGCACTAAAGCAGTTCTGCAAAGAGGAGCGGGCCATTGACTGATTTCCAGGTATTGGAAGTATTTGACAATTGTTTCTGCTAAAAGTCAAACTAGTTATCCAGTTCAGGGGGGCAATCACTCCTTCTCATTGGCGATTTAGGTATCATCCATCCATTTTGTATACACCACTTAATCCTCACTAGGGTCGCGGGGGGGCTGGAGTCTATCCCAGCTGACTCAGGGCGAAGCTACCCTGGACAGGTTACCAGTCTATCACAGGGCAACACTTAGAGACAGACAACCAAGCACACTCACATTCACACCTACAGACAATTTAGAATCACCAATTAACCTCAGCATGTTTTTGGACTGTGTGGGAGGAAGCCGGAGAACCTGAAGAGAACCCACGCTGCACGGGGAGAACATGCAAACTCCACGCAGAAAGATTCCAGTGTCCCCACTGGGACGCAAACTGGCGACCTTCTTGCTGCGAGGCAACAGTGCTAACCACCGAGCCACCCTGCAGCCCTGATTTAGGCATCAAATAACCTTAATTTAAAGACCTTACTTCAATAAATCTAGTTATTATTTATAATGTGGATTTTGTGTTTGCTCAGGAAGCCTTTATTTTATGTTGATACAGTTTAGTATAAGATAGACATAAAAGGGAGCTTAATACCTTTTCATGGTGGTTGTGTACTGAGACTACATTAACTGTAAGTTTCAAACTTTTCTGGGTACATTTTCACTTTTTTTGCGTTTTAAATCTGTCAGATTTTTGTGACCTAAGTCTGCATCAAGTCCAAGTCTCAAATCTACAGCTCTGGTGTCCAGTATATTTTTAGCACCTTGACATTCACAGTATAGTGAGGTCGTTTTCATTTCAACTATGACCTTAAAACTGTTTTCTGCTGCACTAAAATCAGTCAGTTGTTTAATCTTTATTCATTCATTTAGTGTGTATTCTCATGACGAAGAAGCAAGTAAAGAAAAAAACTACTTGGTCATTACCTGAAGCACCTTGCCCTGGGGACTCTCATCAAAGAGCAGGTGCTGCTGGTAGAGCGGCTCCAGGGTCTTTCGTGCAATCTTTGTTTTCTTTTTGGCTTTACATGTTCCATTATCCAGCAGGTATACCTTGACATAGGGAGCTGGAGAAGGAGTTAAAAGGGAGGAAAGACAGAGAATGGGAGAAGGTCAAAAAAAAAAAAAAAAAACAGACACATGATAAAAGCAGAGGGAGTAGGAGGAAGAGGAAGAGGCAGGGAGGGAGGCTGTGCATGTGACTGGATCTAATGGCTTTCGGCTGCATTGCTCTGTTGTTTCCACATGAATGTGAATGTTACCTGGGAGGGATTTGGAGCCTGGTTTGGGGGTAAGGCCTCGTGCCCTGATCACCTCCACCTCCAGCTGGCCTTTCTTATCCATCAAACCAATCTGAACGTCACCTGAGGCGATACAAGTGACACAAGCAATCACAAAATTAAAAACTTACTATGCAAACATTCAGACAAATATGTACGAATGTTAGCGATCACGTCTTGAACAAAGCACGATATACACACAGTGTATCTTCAGATTTAATGAGGACAACAGACCCTAAGAGTGCAGTGTCCTTTCTGGATTACAAATACAGAAATGTCGTGTATAAAATGTGAAGCAGATCTGATGGAGCTGTCACTCACCCATGGCAGGTGTTGCCAGAGTTTGTCGGCCCACCAGTTGACCGGGGCCTAATCCATCCAGGAAGTCACTGAACTGACTGTCGGCACCCAACCTCATCCCTGAGAAGATCAAACTGACACAAACAAGCACAGATTATTCACTGTCCTTGTCACGCTACGCCAAAAGTCGTTACAACACAGCACAGTTTATCACTGGGCACTTTTTACACCTGTACTGTGCAGTTGTGCAACTCTACCCAAACACTAGCCGGCCTGTAGAAACAGTTGTAGATATTGTGTGAATTTGGAGGAGCTTCGTCAGTCCTGACCAAATAGCCTACATTAAATCAGGAGTTTTATCTTGGCTTAGCCATGAACACTATAAAGTTGTCTGTATTACACTCTGGGGTTGTGGGTTTTGAAGTTCCTTTGAAAGTAATGACCTTAAAAGACGGTACAATTTTGATCTCAGTAGCCTTCAGTAGCTTGTCTGGAGCTTTCAATCACTGCACATGCTCTTCATCAGCAGATGGAGTTGGCTACATTTTCATGTTGTCCATAGTGTCTTTATGTCAGGGGCAAAGAGTTTCTACCTAAAAACAATCTTGGTTGTATGATGCGATGAACAACTGGCTCTTTGCTTCACCATAAAATCCATCTGAAACCTTGACATGCTCTGTTGATATGAGGTAATCAATGCTAGTCACTTCATAATGTTTTGGGCCCTCTGTGTATGTCTTTTGCTGTATATTGGCGCTATTCTTTTTTGTGAGTACGTACTTCCCCTCAGAGCTGTAGCTGTTCATGCTGCCATCAGTCGACTCTCTGCTGGCCTGTCGGTTCATGGCTGACCCTCCTCGTGGATACTCCACCGCCATGCCCGTCTCCACGCTCCTCTGGATGCTGCTGCTGCCGCCCTTACCCACCTTCTTACCTGTTGTTGCCTCTGTGGCAAACACAGGAAAGCAATGTTTAGCTACTGGGCTTTGCATGTACAATTTTAACCAAGGTTATCAGGCATTTCTTGTCATCATAGCCAAACTGAATACATTAAAAATTTTAGAGGTTGAACTGAGTCTTATTTTTTAATGTATAGTTTCAAACTAGCAACTTTGGCAAGCCTGATAACTATAGGTTGAGATTCATCTCTGTGCAGGCCAACCCATGCAAACTCATATCCTGTGGTGACCTCACCCACATCTCAAAAATCTGAACACGCAAAAAAGAAATGGCAAGACAAAAATGTGCTCATCTTCAGTGCAGATAAACATATTGGACATGTTGAAATTGAATAAAACATTTCATGTTCTTTAAAGTGATGAGGTCACCGCAGGAAGATCTGGATAAAAATAAAAACTGGCTCAGTCAGTCCACTCATACCTTTAATGTTTAACAGGGATGTGAAGGTAAGGGTCGAAGAAATCACATAGTGTACATGTAACCATAAAGGAAGAGTTCAGCTCATTTTCAAAAGCTGGCTGTTTTTATCATTAACACAAAGCTCTTTAAGATTCAGCTTCATCTTGTGTGTGTGTATTCACAATTATACAAAGCAAATACGCCCTGAATGCTGCAGCAATCAAACTGCTGAGAATATTTTTTAATTGACTCAGCCAGGCTCCTTCAAGAACTGAACCAACCTTTAAAGATAATAGTGAAAGAGGAGGGTGGAGTAAGGAAGCGTGCCAGAGACAGAGTTCAGGAAGGGCTTACGGAGTGCTGGGAACATTTATCTTTCTAACAAAACTACTCTTCAACTTTTCCATGTGTTCGTTCTTTCTGTGGCTCCCTGTCTGCCTGAGTTTGGTCTACTTTGTCTGTAAAAAGTGTATTGTGATGCTTTGTTCATTACGTATAAAGTCATGAGAAGATTAAAGCTTGTCTATATAAATAAAGGAACACCATAAAAGTTGCATCTAACTGCTGATACACTAGATGTTCTTCTTAGTACACAGTATGGTACCACACTCTCTTTATGATGATCACACACTCACTATGTGTTATATGATCCTGTATGAGGCGACTATCAGCCCTCACAAGCATCAGCTCATTTAAAGTGCTACTTGTCACAGGTTCACTTTCTCCCTACAGTGTCCTATAGTGTTTTCTATAGTGTCTGACTTCCTGCCTTTTGCTTTACCTTTCTGTCTGTCCGCCGCCTTACCCGCCGCCTCTGTAATAACACATACAACAACAACAAAGCCAATAAACAACAACAACAACAACAACAACATCAAAACACTAGATACACTGATAAACATTTTAACAAATGATTTTTCAGGACTTAGTGACTGTTGTGTATTTGCAGTCGTCTGTATTGTCAGTATTGTGTCGGTGTCTGTCTGTGTGTGTGTGCACGGTACTGAAACCCTTCACAAACAGTTCTAATAATCACATCACCTTGTTTTTGTTCAGACAAGGATTCACCAAATCATGGAATAAATGCCCCCACAGTGCATTCCATACCAGTTTTTCCAATCCAGTCAAAGTGCATGTGAGCATATTAACATGTAACTGCATTTTCTCTCCAACATTCACAGTTTAAATGCTTATTCTCTGACAAAAACCCCAAAACAACTGCCGATCTGAACTTACTTGCAGAGTTCCAGTTCACATTTAGTATTTAAATAAACTAACATATTGTATTTTCATTAAGTTTAGCTGTAGTGCACGTGTTAAATAAAAAATGCAAAATAATGATTATGCTATAAATGTTATTATAAAAGACTTTTTTCCCCCCATTTACCATCTGTAATGTTTCAGCCTCAGCCTCTAACACATGCTGGTTTTACTATGATACCAGTTGAAAATCTTACTATGACTGGACTCCAGTAGTTGAATTAACTTCCTACGTTGTTGCAGTGATGTAAAAGTGCACTTGGGGCTTCTTATAACCACGAATGAAAACACTTAAAACTTTCAACCACAGGGGGCAGTGAAACACTGCTTTTTCAGTCTGGTAATTCCGATATACTTTAGAGCCACCCCGTCTACTTTTAAAAAATGCCTTTCAAGCAAAGCTTGCCATTTCAGCTTTACTGATAAATATTTTATATTAACCTTTTTACTTTGTCCATCATCTGCCAAAGGCAAAGACTGATTCACCACACAATATAAAACAGACTAGATGCCATTAGAGGCTGCCAATCTTCTTGGCAGTGGTATTTATTTACTGTAATTACACTAATGATTGTGCTGGTGGCTCTTTGATGAATACATACACGCAGCAACTTTAAAGACCTTTGCTGAGGGTTTTTGATTGGCGCTGCCATGTGGTGGAGGATCTGTAGGATAAGTAGGCCTGCTGAGCTGATTCTCTAAGCTGACTACATTTTGATGCTGCACGCCATAGCTGATAAATTAGTTTTACCCTGGAGATATGATATTTCTGATGCTTGACTGGAGGATGAGAAAAACAAATATCAGTCAATTGTTTTTCTTTTCACTGAAATTTTCTATGACTTTTGGTTCTTCTGCTTGGGTTTTTTCCTGCCTCTGTGAGCTTGTGTGATGATTGCTCAGACTGTCAGTCAGTCTGTTCTCTGACCTGTCTGGCTAAGCTGAGAGGTACTGCGACTCCGTCTGGACGGCAGGATGGAGACAACACGTTGGCTGAGGCTCGAGCGCCGCTTCTTGATCCCACTCCCCAGGCTCCCGAGTGCCGTGTCTGATTGGCTGCCGTCGGCGTGCTCCATGCCGTAGATCTCATCGCTCACGCTGGTGCTCTTCATCATGTGGCGACCCGACGCACGCATGGCTCGGCTGATCATCACAGTTTACAATATGATACAAGTAATGTCAACCAAAGCTAAGTTTATTTAACGCTGTTCTATTACAAAAAGGCCAAGTTAGTGTGTGTGTGTACCTGAAGCGTCCCCGGGGTCTCTCTGACTGGATGGACATGTAGCTGGTGCTACTGATGCGAGAGGCACTGCTGGTTCGAGAGATGGCTGACACGTCGCTGACATCACTGTCTGAGGACTTATGGGAAACATTTTCACTACTCCTCCGGTAGAGCTGCAGGACCCACACATCATATGAAATGTTATTAGCAGATGTAGTATGAGAAACACACATACATGGAATTCTCCTTGGTTTGACAGAACATTTTCAGCTCATTGTTTTGCTTTAAGAGGCCACAGCTTCATTGCTTTGACTCTCACTGCTCTCATCAGCACTTGTGGTACTCAGCTGTTTTCATGATAAAAGCTCTGTTGAAACCACTGCACACTACCTACCAAACAGCAGACAGACACATTTAGCAACTGGCTTTTGAACATAGTGAAACATTTAGCACCTAAAGAGACAGATAGGTTATGAGGTGATGGAAACCAAAACATATTGAAGGACAGTAAGTACTGGACTTACATCATTGTCTAAAGTTGCTTTATGTCAGCTGGATGTGTAAACACTGTACATTACATTAGATTTACATTATAGGATATGTCCAAGTGTCAGTCAGCTAGTTGTTGAGTTCAGCGTAGGTTTTGATTGAAACTCATTGATAATGTTCCACACTCAGTGAAATATCTGTTGAGCCTTGCGAACATCTGTCTAATTTCCATGTTGAAGAATATGAAGTATGTGTCATGACGATTTTGAGGTTAAAATGCTGTTTGACTACAGCAGAAGCCAGGGTTTTTCCTCCTGAGAGACAGAACACCACATTGTTCTGAATAGAGGTTATGGTCCTCTAACGTTCGTTAATGAGACAACTACGTGCCCACATAGTCTTTCTGAATGGAGACTGTAAATATGGTCTTCCACATAGCGTGTTGCATTATGGGTTGTTTGTAACTTTAGCGTTGCTACGCTAGGAGGTGATTTCAAGTCAGTCTAGTTCCTGAACTTTAGTTTCAGACTTTCTGAAGGCTCCGACAATGTTCTTTGCTGCAGCAGTGGAAATAAATTCCTTATGAAAATGGGTTCACATAGTCTCCCCATGATTCCACTGTAGAAATAAATAAGGGGGGAAAAAAAATCTGTCAAGGGATTCTGGCTGTCATAGATGATGAGTTCAAAAAGACAGTTTGAAAAATAATAGTGTCAACTGTCAGAAAAAAATGTCTGGGAGAGAGGAGTCAATTAGCTGTAGTGGCTCAATTCATCTATTGAGAAAGTGACCTGACATCTGACTGAACAGCAGTTCAATGATGCAGCCAAACACTACGACATCCTCAAACAGGAGGATGAGAAAAATGCAGTTCAAAAACCAAAATGAGTTTCTGTTGGGTGGAGCTACGATGGGAATTATGTGAGGTCACTTCATAAACCAATAGGAGCAACTTTTTTTTTTAAGTTATTTTTTTGGCTTTTGTGCCTTTATTTGATAGTGCAGTGAGAGAGAGAGGAAAGTGGGGGAGAAGAATGGGAGGAGGACATGTGGGAAAGGGACATGAGCAGGATTCAAACTCATGACCTCCACATCGGGACTGTAGTCCTTTACATGGGATGCCAGCTCAGCCTGGTGAGCTATAGCAGCGCCCCAATAGAAGCACCTTTAAACCCTTAACAGGTTCAGCTAACAAAAAAAATAGTCAGGGCGACGTCAAACATTCATTCATCAGAATAAATCTTTCTGGGCAAAATAACTGCCAAAATACTGCATTCTTGAAGTGAAATTCGAATATACAAGAAGATATTATTGGATATTATTTTCCTCCGATGTGATGAGCCATCTGATTTATCCACATTAACAGTAAAAGGAATCAGTAGACTAGTAATTGTAATGTGTCTGTTTCCACAATGATAGAACGTATCACTAGCTCTGGCTGGTGCCTAAATCAAAATCCTTTAATCTTATCTTTTCTGCACTCATTTACGATTTAGGTTTTATAATGAAGGATGAAAGCCACTGTTACATCTAAGTGGTGTTTGGATTCTTTCATTCATTCAAGTCTTAATCACTTTCCACCAATAACGTTGTCTTGTCTTGTCATTTTTGTGTTTTCTTGCCTGCAACTACTTCATCCACATTTTGAGCATTAGCTGACACTTGTAAACTGTATTGTACACTTTGTGCTGATGATCTCTATGCTAAGATTTATATCATTTCATGTTGCAGGACAATGTAATGTTAAAACTTAAAACTACTGGCATGCTCACAGCGTCCCGATATTCCCATCAAACTGTCTGTTTTCTGTAAGTTAGAGACAGGAAAACCAGCCACTATGGATAATACATTTCTGTATTTGAGGTGTCAGGTGAATTCTTGAGTGACTGCCCAGTTGGAACCAATTCATTTATTGAGTGGTTTTCACCATTACTGTAACATAATTTATTACTTTCTTGGGCTGTTGCTGCGATGCACTTCAGCACCATTATGGCTCATGCTGCCTGGCTGGTACCTTTATTGTCTGTGTCCACTCTTCTGATGAGTTTGTTTAAAAATGAACCATCAGGCTAAATGAAGCCAAGAAATAAACACAAAGAAAAAAAACAAAAAAAAAGTGGCCCACCTCCTGTTTGTTCTTGAGGCTTCGGTCCAGGTCCTGTTGGCTGGAGGTGGTAGCAGCTGACACCCGGTTGGAATGAACCCTCATTTGGAGCTCACGAACACGCTCCTCTGCTACCAGGGCTAAACAAACACAAAAAAATAGGAAACTTGATATGCTCCCACCTAATCAAACACTGCACAAGACATTTACTTGTATATGTAATAAGGTCAGTGGTGTTAGATATGGTGACTGGTGAGAAAACTGGAAAACAGAAACGCCAAAAAAAAGTGTTTTTTGTAGAACTTCCTGGTATTATCCACCTCACCATTTTATTCAATTAGATGTCTGTGGGAAATGTTGACATAATTTGTACATGCATTCTTCAGCTGTGGCCAAAAATGTGTTTTATGACGTTATAGTGACCTTTGACCACCAAAATCTGATCAGTTCATCCTCTTGTCCAAATGGACGATTGTACAAATTGAAAGAAAGCCCTTTGATGAGCCATAAAGATGCATCACATGGCCCGCTGGAAGACGAGCTAACTAAAAACAGACAGAAGATTTGCCATCAAAGGGTAACGTGTGACACCAACTCAATGCTCACAATGATGTCATGAGCAGGATCAGCAGATAACACTTGGAAACACTCGTCAGAATAAATTAAACAGGATATTTTGCTGGATGTTGCAGTTGACTTTGTTCACATTGTAACTAAATAACTTGATCTAGTATGAAACTAAACAGTGGTTTAATAAGGACTTAAACTTGGAGATGGATTTAAAAGGAGCTGTCAAAAAGATAAGACCTACCTTTCTAATTTTCATAGCCAAAGTAAGCCATTCAAATTTAAAGGGAATCTACTATTAGGTTGTCCATCATGGCTCGTCATTCTCCTGCTTTCCGAACAATATTCATGTATACTAGAGAATGACGGAAAGAATAAGCAGCTTGTGAAATAGGAACTTTTATGTCATGTTTGTTGTATATTTTTTCTTTGTATGTTAAAGCATGGGCTGCATGGTGGCTCAGCTGTTAGCACCTGATGGGACGCCTGGGATCGTTTTGTGGAGTTTGCATGTTCCTTCTGTGCAACGTGGGTTCTCACAAGGTTCTGTAGCTTCTTCAAACAGTTCAAAAACATGCCGAGGTTAATTGGTGATTCTAAATTGTTCATATGTGTGAATGTGAGTGTGCTTGGTTGTGTGTCTGACTGGTGACCTGTCCAGAATGTCCCCTGCCTTCACCCTAAGTCAGCTGGGATAGACTCCAGCCCCCCGCGACCCTAGTGAGGATTAAGTGGTGCATAGATAATGGATGGATGGATGGATGTTAAAGCATGTGTAGTCTAGAGATGTGGGCATGAGGATTTGACTGCAACGAAAATGTCACCCTGAAGTCCACAGGGAACACGGAAGCACCTGTGGTCGCCTCGTGGATGCTTCTTGTTTAGAAGTTCCGTATCTTACTCTCTCAAGGTCGATGGATACCAGATATATTAATTATCCATCAATGACAGCATCTCCTCCACATACCTTGTTCTGCGGTGTTGCTCTTGGGGGGAAGCTGTGGGAGCTGTCTCACTCTGCGGGCTGAGGAGGACGTCACTGAGGAGGAAAGAGACGCACCACTTTGGAGGTGGCCCCTAACACAGAAAAACACAAGAGTAAAACAGATAGAGAAGAAAACAGACAGGGGACAGGGTGACATGAGGGAGAGAAGAGTGAATAGAAGCAAGGATGAAAAGAGTGGGAATAAAAAGGAGAGAAAACGATGTTTAAGTCATCATGTTTGTGGTCCAGGGTACTCCAGTATTGGATCTTTGCTGGTCAAATTTCACATTTCTTGAGTTCATCCTTTTCACAAAACAGCCAGGAACACATAAACTGGATGTGAGTTCATATTTCTTCACTTGAAATGAGTAACAATAAAGATAAAGTTGCAAAAAAGAAAAAAGAAAAAAAAAAGTGACAGAATGTAGCTTCAGGAAAAGCATCAATTTTGGACATGAGAGAAAAGCAACAATATCAGTGGCCACATCATATTCACAAAGTGAAGCAAAGTGAAGCTTGTTCAGGGGTTGATAGTGAGAGATCCTGTTGCCAAAAAGAGCAGCAAAAAAAAAAAGATTTAGACAGTGAAACAACACATAGAGAAGGTGGAAGCCTTCAAGCGCAAATCCCAAGAAGTCTGCAGACATTCATTCATTCTAATCCATTCTCACAAAACACCTAAGAACAGGGGTTATTCATAAAACTGATGTTTTCTGTTTAACTGTGAATGAACCTCAATTAGTTTGTCGTGTGTTTCGTTGCGGCGCTTCAATCGGATTATTTTAAATACAGTAACAGAAAACAACAGCTGATCTCTTTGATTTTTTCTTATTCCATTAAATAATAAATATCTGTAAATGCAGATATCTTTTATTTGCACATGAATAAATCGCAGCTCTATTGTAACAGACATTTCCCTTCAAATTGTAATTTTACTGACCAGCGACTCCATCTATCCTCCGTCTCAGGCAAAATAATCTAATGATAGCTGTTAAATTTGTCCATAACTTGTTCATTTTTTGGTCCCTTTACTGTTGCGTTTTACAAATTACCCCGTTAAATTTTTTTTTGTTGAGTATTGTTCAAACAGGCCAAAATACGCAAAACAGACATTTCATCATCCACATGTGAACAAACAACACCCACAACACAATAAATACACAAACACCAAACAGCAGCAGTGTCCAGATGCTGTAACAATGCACCGACGTTTCACACAACACACAAACTAACAGAACTATGTGACAGAGCAGCCCTGTCTCGTTCTTCTCTACCACAACCACCACAGCAAATGAAAGGGGATCTGCCTCAGGGAGCTGATTCAAGGAATCCCCTTACCAAGGGGCCGCAGTGGGGCCTTCTTTCCTCTGGAGCCCCTTAAGATGGAGGTGGGCTTGATTCTGGTGCACATACACACAAGTGCGTACAATCACACAAGTGCCATACAAACCCAAAGGCCCGCAATACAGTGTGTGAGCAGCAGCATGCAGGGACAGAGATGGGGTTGAAAACATGGGTTTGAGGAAAAATGGAAGAAAAAAAGCAGAACATAAATAAAAACAGAAAATTAAAATAATGTTAAATGAAACTTTAGAAAAACAGTTTTTTCTGTATGGACCTAAACCTTCATTTGTTCAACAATTTTAACCATAAAGTGTGAAAATAGTTTATGCTAAAGGATCAAACAATGTCTCCAAACATTATATTTATCTACCATTACTTTGCAACATAAAACAAGTTTTACAAGAAACATAATAATTAAAGTATCATTTATCTTTTTATTGGTGTGCTGAAGCAGCTCAAATGACTTGAATTGAGTTTAGGAACGATCATTATTTTGTTGCAAGGTTCTAACATTGACAATGTCCCTCAGACAGGGCTAGCATGCTAAAAACTCCCTCAGCTTTATACCTGCTAAACATTAGCATGTTGGCAGAAATAAAATCAACTACAACTGTTTGTGATTGTGATTGCATGTTGATGCTGCAAACATATATATCAAGTATCTTTTATTGAGGATGTAAACCAAACTTTATCCGTTTCCTCCAAAACATATCTGAAAAAAAGATCCAGCTGTATAAAAACCTAATTTTTAGGAGACAAAGTTGAAACGCTTTTGGAATCACACATATAATATGTTTATGCTAACAAAGGCCACAGAGAGCCTTTAGATAAAACATATGAAGAGACTATGCTGTGTCTTCCTGTCAGTTTGTTGTAAGATGATGTTCTACGTTATCATTGTAGGTCAGAGGATACAACCAGCACGTCTCAATCCAAATCAATGGGATTTTATGGGATCTCTGACCTTGAAGAGGGAGATACTGAATAAAAGCTGGACCAAAAATTGAACTCCCTCACACTCATGACTGTAATTGACTTAGGTTAATCGTGAGAACCACTAAAGGCCTAAAAGAACACATAAACCTGTTTAAAATGTTCACAACTAAATGGCTTCTTTCAAACTGGTCAGCAAACTGGAGACGCTCCAGGCTCTGCCTGTAAATAAGTGCGTCTGACATGTGCTGGGCTTACAGTACATGTCTTACCTGCTACTCTCAGAGAGCTTCCTGCCAAGAGTCTGACACTCAGGCGTTTCCAGGGTCCGAGGCTGCCTGGAGAATGGTGGATGAGCAAAGGGAACAAAACACAACAGAAAAAAAAGGTGGATAGATGGATGGAAGGATGAATGAGAGGTTGAAAGAGAGCATGATGGTGGATAAATCATTTAGATTTAGAAGAGTCTGACTCTGTCAGCGGCCGTCATTGGCCTTATAAGTTTATGATCTGGAAAACAGGAAATAGAAGGCATGCTGTGATGGATGGTATGATGGTGATAGGAATAAGGGGTGTCACACACCCATGCTTCATCTGTGACTGTGCCTGCATGTGTGTGTGTGTGT